CCTTTGACTCTCTATGTCCCCTATCCCCCCGGCCGGCTCGGTCCTCCCCTCCAGCTCCGTGGCTTGATGACTCATTGCGAGCTCACAGAACAGAGCTCCGGGCAGCTGAGCGGAAATGGAAGAAAACTAGACTCCCTGCGGACCTGGCATCTTTTCACTCCCTCCTCTCTACATTTTCTTCATCTGTTTCTGCTGCTAAGGCCACTTTCTACCACTCTAAATTCCAAGCATCTGCCTCTAACCCTAGGAAGCTCTTTGCCACATTCTCCTCCCTGCTGAATCCCCCCCCCCCCCCCCCCTCCCTCTCTGTGGATGACTTCGTCAACCATTTTGAAAAGAAGGTTGACGACATCCAATCCTCGTTTGTTAAGTCAAATGACACTGCTGGTCCTGCTCACACTGCCCTACCCTATGCTTTGACTTCTTTCTCCCCTCTCTCTCCAGATAAAATCTTGCGACTTGTGACGGCAGGCCGCCCAACAACCTGCCCGCTTGACCCTATCCCCTCCTCTCTTCTCCAGACCATCTCCGGTGACCTTCTCCCTTACCTCACCTCGCTGATCAACTCATCCTTGACCGCTGGCTATGTCCCTTCTGTCTTCAAGAGAGCGAGAGTTGCACCCCTTCTCAAAAAACCAACACTCGATCCCTCTGATGTCAACAACTACAGACCAGTATCCCTTCTTTCTTTTCTCTCCAAAACTATTGAGCGTGCCGTCTTTAGCAAACTCTCTTGCTATCTCTCTCAGAATGACCTTCTTGATCCAAACCAGTCAGGTTTCAAGACTGGTCATTCAACTGAGACTGCTCTTCTCTGTGTCACGGAGGCTCTCCGCACTGCTAAAGCTAACTCTCTCTCCTCTGCTCTTGTCCTTCTAGACCTGTCTGCTGCCTTTGATACTGTGAACCATCAGATCCTCCACTCCACCCTCTCCGAGCTGGGCATCTCCGGCGCGGCTCACTCTTGGATTGCGTCCTACCTGACCGGTCGCTCCTACCAAGTGGCGTGGCGAGAAGCTGTCTCCGCACCACGTGCTCTCACCACTGGTGTCCCCCAGGGCTCAGTTCTAGGCCCTCTCCTATTCTCGCTATACACCAAGTCACTTGGCTCTTTCATATCCTCACATGGCCTCTCCTATCATTGCTACGCTGACGACACACAACTAATCTTCTCCTTTCCCCCTTCTGATAACCAGGTGGCGAATCGCATCTCTGCATGTCTGGCAGACATATCAGTATGGATGACGGATCACCACCTCAAGCTGAACCTTGGCAAGACGGAGCTGCTCTTCCTCCCGGGGAAGGACTGCCTGTTCCATGATCTCGCCATCACGGTTGACAACTCCGTTGTGTCCTCCTCCCAGAGTGCAAAGAGCCTTGGCGTGACCCTGGACAACACCCTGTCGTTCTCCGCTAACATCAAGGCGGTGACCCGATCCTGTAGGTTCATGCTCTACAACCTTCGGAGAGTACGACCCTGCCTTACACAGGAAGCGGCACAGGTCCTAATCCAGGCACTTGTCATCTCCCGTCTGGATTACTGCAACTCGCTGTTGGCTGGGCTCCCTGCCTGTGCCATTAAACCCCTACAACTCATCCAGAATGCCGCAGCCCGTCTGGTATTCAACCTTCCCAAGTTCTCTCACGTCCTCCGCACCCTTACTCCAATCCCCCCCCCCCCAAAAAAAAACCACTGGCTATAAGGTGAATGCACCTATTTGTAAGTCGCTCTGGATAAGATCGTCTGCTAAATGACGTAAATGTAATGTAAATGTATGCTATCTATTCATGTTTTATGTATGTTCTGTTTATCTGTGAATTAACCAATGATATCAGACCACACCCGGCCATGATTACAGACACCTGCGTGTGTCCTTTGACACTATATAAACTAGTGACCCTCAGTGTTTGTCATTATACCCTGATGAAGACGGCTTGTCTGTGGAAACGTTGGTTATTAGGATATTAAATTATTGCATATGAGCTCCTAGAGTGGAAACTCTCCTTTTCTTTTTAATCTGTCTGAGGCCAGTCTGCTGCCCCTCCTTTATGGCCTGTAGTTATGTGGCAGTCTGCTGCCCCTCCTTTATGGCCTGTAGTTATGTGGCAGTCTGCTGCCCCTCCTTTATGGCCTGTAGTTATGTGGCAGTCTGCTGCCCCTCCTTTATGACCTGTAGTTATGTGGCAGTCTGCTGCCCCTCCTTTATGGCCTGTAGTTATGTGGCAGTCTGCTGCCCCTCCTTTATGGCCTGTAGTTATGTGGCAGTCTGCTGCCCCTCCTTTATGGCCTGTAGTTCTATGGCAGTCTGCTGCCCCTCCTTTATGGCCTGTAGTGTTGACAACCAGCAGACTGTGTGTAAAGGCGATACATTGCAATCCAAAAACAGTCCATTAACATTCCACAGTACAACAATATTTTATACATTTGAACTATGTGGCACCGGTGAGGCTTTATACACGCATCTAGAAAAATGTACAGTATTATAACATTTTTGTGTCTCAGTGCAAAATATATTATGTTGAAAAAGAATAAAAACTGTGTCCTTGTTACATGAATGTCTTCCCTGTTGTTTCCCCTCTGTGTTCACAAACAACAGATTCAGGAGGAAGACCATGGCTGGCCAAGTGGCACCCTATTCCCTATATAGTGCACTACTTTAGACCAGAGAATGGCACCCTATTCCCTCTATAGTGCACTACTTTTGACCAGAGAATGGCACCCTATTCCCTATATAGTGCACTACTTTAGATCAGAGAATGGCACCCTATTCCCTATATAGTGCACTACTTTTGACCGGAGAATGGCACCCTATTCCCTATATAGTGCACTTCTTTAGACCAGAGAATGGCACCCTATTCCCTATATAGTGCACTACTTTAGACCAGAGAATGGCACCCTATTCCCTATATAGTGCACTACTTTAGACCAGAGAATGGCACCCTATTCCCTATATAGTGCACTACTTTAGACCGGAGAATGGCACCCTATTCCCTATATAGTGCACTACTCTTGACCGGAGAATGGCACCCTATTCCCTATATAGTGCACTACTTTAGATCAGAGAATGGCACCCTATTCCCTATATAGTGCACTACTTTTCACCAGGCTCTGGTCTAGAGTAGTGCACTACAAAGGGAATAGGGTACCACTTGGAACGCAGCCCATCATTAAAAAACTCACATAATAACCATCATTAAATAACTCACATTATAACCATCATTAAATAACTCACATAATAACCATCATTAAATAACTCACATAATAACCATCATTAAATAACTCACATAATAACCATCATTAAATAACTCACCTATGGTGTCTATAATAGGTCATCCTCAGTCTTCCCAGGACTTAATAACGTCCGCTGAGACTGACAGTGTCCTAATATGGGCACCGTACAGACCTGATGTTACAGTCACCGTCAGGTAGCAGCAGTGTTCTCGGCTTCGTCTTTAAAAAGTAGAGCATCCACAAACAACAGCCTCTCACTGTCCTGTACGCTCACAACTCCAACAATATCAACAGAGTAGTACGATTCATTACGGTAGTATTGAATAATCATGACAGACAGACAAACTCAAGTGTGTCGCCTGCTTTAACTAGTTACATTACAGTTGGTTCAAGTTCTCTGGCTTTGTTTTCCCGTCTGAATCCCCGGGGAGAGAAGGCAATGGAAGGACACTCAGTCAGTCAGTCAGTCAGTCAGCCAGTCAGCCAGCCAGCCAGCCAGCCAGCCAGCCAGCCAGTCAGCCAGCCAGCCAGCCAGCCAGTCAGCCAGCCAGCCAGCCAGCCAGCCAGCCAGTCAGCCAGCCAGCCAGCCAGCCAGCCAGCCAGCCAGCCAGTCAGTCAGTCAGCCAGCCAGTAAGAAAGTAAGTAATTAAGTCAGACAGAAAGTCAGTCAGTAAGACAGTTAGTAGGTCAGCTGGTATAGTCAGTCAGAGTTAGTGTTAGATCCCATCCTCAGCTGGTACAGTCAGTCAGAGTTAGTGCTAGATCCCATCCTCAGCTGGTACAGTCAGTCAGAGTTAGTGCTAGATCCCATCCTCAGCTGGTACAGTCAGTCAGAGTTAGTGCTAGATCCCACCCTCAGTTGGTACAGTCTGTCAGTAGGTGCTAGACCCCATCCCCAGTTGGTACAGTCAATCAGTAGGTGCTAGATCCCATCCCCAGTTGGTACAGTCAATCAGAAGGTGCTAGATCCCATCCTCAGGTGGTACAGTCAGTCAGTAGGTGCTAGATCCCATCCCCAGTTGGTAAAGTCAGTCAGTAGGTGCTAGACCCCATCCTCAGGTGGTACAGTCAGTCAGTACGTGCTCGATCCCATCCTCAGTTGGTACATTCAGTCAGTAGGTGCTAGATCCCATCCTCAGGTGGTACAGTCAGTCAGTAGGTGCTAGATCCCATCCTCAGTTGGTACAGTCAGTCAGTAGGTGCTAGATCCCATCCTCAGCTGGTAGAGTCAGTCAGTAGGTGCTAGATCCCATCCTCAGTTGGTACAGTCAGTCAGTAGGTGCCCATCCTCAGCTGGTACAGTCAGTCAGTAGGTGCTAGATCCCATCCTCAGCTGGTACAGTCAGTCAGTAGGTGCTAGATCCCATCCTCAGCTGGTACAGTCAGTCAGTAGGTGCTAGATCCCATCCTCAGCTGGTACAGTCAGTCAGTAGGTGCTAGATCCCTTTTCCAGCTGGTACAGTCAGTCAGTAGGTGCTAGATCCCATCCTCAGCTGGTACAGTCAGTCAGTAGGTGCTAGATCCCATCCTCAGCTGGTACAGTCAGTCAGTAGGTGCTAGATCCCATCCTCAGTTGGTACAGTCAGTCAGTAGGTGCTAGATCCCATCCTCAGCTGGTACAGTCAGTCAGTAGGTGCTAGATCCCATCCTCAGCTGGTACAGTCAGTCAGTAGGTGCTAGATCCCTTTTCCAGCTGGTACAGTCAGTCAGTAGGTGCTAGAACCTATCCTCAGCTGGTACAGTCAGTCAGAGTTAGTAATCTCAGGTATCAGCTGATACTAATACTATTGATAGCGACTATGGCAGGGACCGGATCCACCAATCCCATCTCCTCATGCTCGTTGACGCACAGCTGGTAGCCACACCCCCTCCGACGTTTCAGAGGCGTGACCTTGGCGTGGGACTTGGCGCGGGGCGGGAGCAGGAAGCCCACGCTGCCTGCGATCAGCATGTGCCAGATAGAGTGTATGTAGAAGTAGTTGTCCTCTGTCTCAACGAAGGCATAGAGCGCCACGGCTGAAACGGCGATCATCGTCCCCGGGAACAGAAAGAACACCCAGCGCTTCCAGGTTGGAGGATAACAGCGCCGCCGTCGCACTGTACGCACCGTCTGGAGGGGCAGGGGGGAGAGACAGTTAGATAGGTGGGGGAGGGAGGGGGGAGACAGTTAGACAGTTGGGGGAGGGAGGGGGGAGACACAGACAGTTGGGGGAGGGAGGGGGGGGGACACAGACAGTTGGGGGAGGGAGGGGGGGGACACAGACAGTTGGGGGAGGGAGGGGGGAGACACAGACAGTTGGGGGAGGGAGGGGGGAGACAGTTAGATAGTTGGGGGAGGGAGAGGGGGGACACAGACAGTTGGGGGAGGGAGAGGGGGGACACAGACAGTTGGGGGAGGGAGAGGGGGGACACAGACAGTTGGGGGAGGGAGAGGGGAGACAGACAGTTGGGGGAGGGAGAGGGGGGAGACAGACAGTTGGGGGAGGAGGGGGGAGACACAGACAGACAGTTGGGGGAGGGAGAGGGGGAGACAGACAGTTGGGGGAGGAAGGGGGGAGACACAGACAGTTGGGGGAGGGAGAGGGGGGACACAGACAGTTGGGGGAGGGGACACAGACAGTTGGGGGAGGGAGAGGGGGAGACAGACAGTTGGGGGAGGAGGGGGGAGACACAGACAGTTGGGGGAGGGAGAGGGGGAGACACAGACAGTTGGGGGAGGGAGAGGGGAGACACATGCAGTTGGGGGAGGGAGAGGGGAGACAGACAGTTGGGGGAGGGAGAGGGGAGACAGACAGCCAGTTGGGGGAGGGGGAGACAGTTAGACAGTTGGGGGAGGGAGGGGGGAGACACATGCAGTTGGGGGAGGGGGAGACAGTTAGACAGTTGGGGGAGGGGGAGACAGACAGCCAGTTGGGGGAGGAGGGGGGAGACACAGACAGTTGGGGGAGGGAGAGGGGAGACACAGACAGACAGTTGGGGGAGGGAGGGGGGAGACAGACAGTTGGGGGGAGGGGGGAGACAGTTAGACAGTTGGGGGAGGGGGAGACAGACAGCCAGTTGGGGGAGGAGGGGGGAGACACAGACAGTTGGGGGAGGGAGAGGGGAGACACAGACAGACAGTTGGGGGAGGGAGGGGGGAGACAGACAGTTGGGGGAGGGGGAGGGGGAGACAGTTAGACAGTTGGGGGAGGGAGAGGGGGAGACAGTTAGACAGTTGGGGGAGGGAGAGGGGGAGACAGTTAGACAGTTGGGGGAGGGAGAGGGGGAGACAGTTAGACAGTTGGGGAGGGGAGGGGGAGACAGTTAGACAGTTGGGGGAGGGGGAGACAGTTAGACAGTTGGGGGAGGGGGAGACAGACAGTTGGGGGAGGGAGAGGGGGGAGACACAGACAGTTGGGAGAGGGGGAGACAGTTAGACAGTTGGGGGAGGGAGAGGGGGAGACAGTTAGACAGTTGGGGTAGGGGGAGACAGACAGTTGGGGGAGGGAGAGGGGGAGACAGACAGTTAGATGCACAGAGACACACACACAGTCAGATAGTAGTGTAGTTCTTTATTGATCCCAAGTTGGGACATTGTTCTATCAACACAAGCTTCATCAATGATTAACAAGACAAGACATGGATCAATAACACATAATAAAAACATAATACAAAGTCTCAGTCATCTCCGTCTCAGTGGTCTTGGTCATGTCTCAGTATCACACTAGTTGCTGCTACTGGGAGAACATTAGGTCCCAGTGACTACAGAATATAATGATCATTTATTATATGCTTATACACTTTCAGAAATGCTTGTTGAACTTGTTATGAACTATTTATGATGACAACGTTTAGTTCACAAATGGATCGAGCATGTTCTCGTTTATAAACGTAACTTCTCAGCACATATAGGATTCATAGACTAAAACATGTATCTCTGCTAACTGTTAGAAGTGGAATGAAAAGTCAGGATGTTCTTGTTGAGATCAGCCAAGTAGAGACCAGAGACCAGAGAGCCTGTCCCTGTCACTGAATACTTTGCACTTTTCCGTTAACTCTTTTCTCTCTGTGTGTGTTTTTCTACATAGTCCCTCATGAAAAGAGGAAGGTCGGCACTCAATCCTTGCAGTGAAATAAAGGAAAATGTTTTCCATGTTAAACACAGTCCTTTACCTTGGCTCAACCTCCTCATCACCTACACACTGTTCTAACAGATGGGCTCTGCTTTGTCAGTCTGTCCTTGGTGGCTGTCCTCTAACAGACCTTTAACAAACCCAAGTCATCTTGCCTGTTGTCTCCTAGGCTACCAATTCACTATGTGCACAGTATCGAAAAACAGAAGTTCAGAACACTATTGCAGATCTCTGAATGATTAAAATGCAAATACATTTATAACATTTTTGACATGCGTTTTTCTGGATTTTTTTGTTGTTATTCTGTCTCTCACTGTTCAAATAAACCTACCATTAAAACTATAGACTGATCATGTCTTTGTCTTTGTCAATGGGAAAACGTACAAAATCAGCAGGGGATCAAATTCTTTCAGTGGGGAGAACAAGTATTTGATACACTGCCGATTTTGCAGGTTTTCCTACTTACAAAGCATGTAGAGGTCTGTAATTTTTTATCATAGGTACACTTAAACTGTGAGAGACGGAATCAAAAAAAATCCAGAAAATCACATTGTATGATTTTTAAGTAATTCATTTGCATTTTATTGCATGACATAAGTATTTGATACATCAGAAAAGCAGAACTTAATATTTGGTACAGAAACCTTTGTTTGCAATTACAGAGATCATACGTTTCCTGTAGGTCTTGACCAGGTTTGCACACACTGCAGCAGGGATTTTGGCCCACTCCTCCATACAGACCTTCTCCAGATCTTTCAGGTTTCGGGGCTGTCGCTGGGCAATACGGACTTTCAGCTCCCTCCAAAGATGTTCTATTGGGTTCAGGTCTGGCTAGGCCACTCCAGGACCTTGAGATGCTTCTTACGGAGCCACTCCTTAGTTGCCCTGGCTGTGTGTTTCGGGTCGTTGTCATGCTGGAAGACCCAGCCACGACCCATCTTCAATGCTCTTACTGAGGGAAGGAGGTTGTTGGCCAAGATCTCGCGATACATGGCCCCATCCATCCTCCCCTCAATACGGTGCAGTCGTCCTGTCCCCTTTGCAGAAAAGCATCCCCAAAGAATGATGTTTCCACCTCCATGCTTCACGGTTGGGATGGTGTTCTTGGGGTTGTACTCATCCTTCTTCTTCCTCCAAACACGGCGAGTGGAGTTTAGACCAAAAAGCTCTATTTTTGTCTCATCAGACCACATGACCTTCTCCCATTCCTCCTCTGGATCAACCAGACGGTCATTGGCAAACTTCAGACAGGCCTGGACATGCGCTGGCTTGAGCAGGGGGACCTTGCGTGCGCTGCAGGATTTTAATCCATGACGGCGTAGTGTGTTACTAATGGTTTTCTTTGAGACTGTGGTCCCGGGTCATTGACCAGGTCCTGCCGTGTAGTTCTGGGCTGATCCCTCACCTTCCTCATGATCATTGATGCCCCACGAGGTGAGATCTTGCATGGAGCCCCAGACCGAGGGTGATTGACCGTCATCTTGAACTTCTTCCATTTTCTAATAATTGCGCCAACAGTTGTTGCCTTCTCACCAAGCTGCTTGCCTATTGTCCTGTAGCCCATCCCAGCCTTGTGCAGGTCTACAATTGTATCCCTGATGTCCTTACACAGCTCTCTGGTCTTGGCCATTGTGGAGAGGTTGGAGTCTGTTTGATTGAGTGTGTGGACAGGTGTCTTTTATACAGGTAACAAGTTCAAACAGGTGCAGTTAAAACAGGTAATGAGTGGAGAACAGGAGGGCTTCTTAAAGAAAAACTAACAGATCTGTGAGAGCCGGAATTCTTACTGGTTGGTATGTGATCAAATACTTATGTCATGCAATAAAATGCAAATTAATTACTTAAAAATCATACAATGTCATTTTCTGGATTCCGTCTCTCACAGTTGAAGTGTACCTATGATAAAAATGACAGACCTCTACATGCTTTGTAAGTAGGAAAACCTGCAAAATCGGCAGTGTATCAAATACTTGTTCTCCCCACTATACATACACATACATATCCTTAAAAAAAAAATATTTCAATTTATTACTTTCTAACCCCACCATCCCTTCCCTAATTGGAGTAAACTAGTGAACAACAATGCTTAGGCCTCTACTTCCAGCTTATACATACTATATACATTTTATGGACACAGTCAATTTTACAATAATTCTATTTTATTTGTTTTTACTCCTGAACTTCCTCTACCCTCAACCTCTCCGATCATTTTCATGATGTCCATCCAGTTTGCTTCTATATGCCATATCTTTCTAACTGTGCTTTTTCACAAAAGCTCTCAACCTATAACCTATATACTTATTATGGACACAGTATAATTTACATTATTAGTTATCTTGTTGTTATTAGTTGTTGTTAGTTGTAATTAGTCCCATCCAACTTCATTCAACACCACCCATCTATCTCTTAACACCATCCATATTGGATTTCTATTTTCCATATATTTTTCAACTGTACTGTGATGTTTTACAAAAGTTCTGAACCTTTCTATTCTCATTGTATCTACAGATTGTAAATTGAAAATCAACATTTTTGCTAAAAGTATTATTACCACTGCGCCACTCGGGTCGCCACGAGGAGCTGCAAAGCTCCACAGCAGAGATTGGAGTATCTGTCCATAGGACCACTTTAAGCCGTACACTCCACAAAGCTGGGCATTACGGAAGAGTGGCCAGAAAAAAGCCATTGTTTAAAGAAAAAAATAAGCAAACACGTTTGGTGTTCGCCAAAAGGCATGTGGGAGACTCCCCAAACATATGGAAGAAGGGACTCTGGTTAGATGAGACTAAAATTGAGCTTTTTTGAGCTATTTTGCAATCTATATGGGATGGCTGTCAATCCATTGGTCCTTAAATTAAACTGGTATACTTTTTTATTTATCACAGTTTTCTTTAACCAATTAAGTTCTTTAATGCAAGGCCGACAGACAAGTTCCTTACCTTTTCCCCCTTCCACTTTCCTCTTCCATTTCTGAGGTAATGCTGCATATTATTTGGTTGTAATTTTGGGTAGAGCAGACATTTCCATATGTTTTTGTTAGCTGCATGTGCGACATAACTCCACCAGTCCTACCGATGATATAATTTACGAAGATTATACCTTTTTTAAACATTTTGTCCCAAAAAAAATGTTTTTTTTATCAATTAGTAGTTTCTGGAGGATTAAATTGAAATTGCAACCAACTTTCTATGGCTTGTTTTAGAAATAGTGATATTTGGTAGATTATTTCCTTTTCAAATAACTGAAAGTGAGAGGTTGTAATCTGAATAAAGAGAAAAAGGCCATTCTTGAACATTGGGTGAGACAATCTTACTAATTTGCTAGAGAACCAGTTTGGATTTAAGTATAACTTTTGTATGTCTGAAGCTTTTAGTGATAGGTCTAATGCTTTAATATTTAATAATTTCTGTCCTCCGAATTCATATTAATTATAAAAATAGGCCCGTTTAATTTTGTCTGGCTTGCCGTTCCAAATAAAATGGAACCTTTTTCTCATATAATTAAAAAAACTGTACGCTAGGCGTAGGCAAGACCATAAGCAAATAGGTAAACTGGGATAATACTAAAGAGTTAATCAGGGTGATTTTTCCACAAATTGACAGGTATTTACCTTTCCATGGTAGCAAGATCTTATCTATTTTTGCTAACTTTCTATTAAAATGTATTGGAGTGAGATCATGTATTTCATTTGGGATATGTATTCCGAGTATATCCACATCACCATCAGACCATTTTATAGGTAAACTACAGTTGAAGTCGGAAGTTTACATACACCTTAGCCAAATACATTTAAACTCCGTTTTTCACAATTCCTGACATTTAATCCTAGTAAAAATGCCCTGTTTTAGGTCAGTTAGGATCACCACTTTATTTTAAGAATGTGAAATGTCAGAATAACAGTAGACAGAATGATTTATTTCAGCTTTTATTTCTTTCATCACATTCCCAGTGGGTCAGAAGTTGACATACACTCAATTAGTATTTGGTAGCATTGCCTTTAAATTGATTAACTTGGGTCAAACGTTTCGGGTGGCCTTCCACAAGCTTCCCACAATAAGTTGGGTGGATTTTGGCCCATTCCTCCTGACAGAGCTGGTGTAACTGAGTCAGGTTTGTAGGCCTCCTTGCTCGCACACGTTTTTTCAGTTCTGCCCACACATTTTCTATAGGATTGAGGTCAGGGCTTTGTGATGGCCACTCCAATACCTTGACTTTGTTGTCCTTAAGCCATTTTGCAACAACTTTGGAAGTATGCTTGGGGTCATTGTCCATTTGGAAGACCCATTTGCAACCAAGCTTTAACTTCCTGACTGATGTCTTGAGATGTTGCTTCAATATATCCACAAAAGTTTCCTTCCTCATGATGCCATCTATTTTGTGAAGTGCACCAGACCCTCCTGCAGCAAAGCACCCCCACAGCATGATGCTGACACCCCGTGTTTCACAGTTGGGATGGTGTTCTTCAGCTTGCAAGCCGTCCCCTTTTTCCTCCAAACATAATGATGGTCATTATGGCCAAACAGTTCTATTTTTGTTTCATCAGACCAGAGGACATTTCTCCAAAAAGTAAGATCTTTGTCCCCATGTGCAGTTGCAAACCGTAGTCTGGCTTTTTTATGGCGGTTTTGGAGCAGTGGCTTCTTCCTTGCTGAGCGGCCTTTCAGGTTATGTTGATATAGGACTCGTTTTACTGTGCTTTTGTACCTGTTTCCTCCAGCATCTTCACAAGGTCCTTTGCTATTGTTCTGGGATTGATTTGCACTTTTCGCACCAAAGTACGTTCATCTCTAGGAGACAGAACGCGTCTCCTTCCTGAGCGGTATGACGGCTGCGTGGTCCCATGGTGTTTATACTTGCATACTATTGTTTGTACAGATGAACGTGGTACCTTCAGGCATTTGGAAATTGCTCCCAAGGATGAACCAGACTTGTGGAGGTCTACAATTTCTTTTCTGAGGTCTTGGCTGATTTCTTATGATTTTCCCATGATGTCAAGCAAAGATGCACTGAGTTTGAAAGTAAGCCTTGAAATACATCCACAGGTACACCTCTAATTGAGTCAAATGATGTCAATTAACCTATCAGAAGCTTCTAAAGCTATGAAATCATTTTCTGGAATTTTCCAAGCTGTTTAAAGGCACAGTCAACTTAATGTATGTTAACTTCTGACCCACTGGAATTGTGATACAGTGAATTATAAGTGAAATAATTTGTCTGTAAACATTTGTTGGAAAAATTACTTGTGTCATGCACAAAGTAGATGTCCTAACCGACTTGCCAAAACTATAGTTTGTTAACAAGAAATTTGTGGAGTGGTTGAAAAGCTAGTTTTAATGACACCAACCTAAGTGTATGTAAACTTCTGACTTCAACTGTACATGGTAATGTAACATTTTAATTTTTTAGTGATCCAATACGTAATATAGTACATTTATCATAATTTGGTTGTAATCCAGAGAGGTTAGAAAATGTATCTACATCCTCTATGAGGGCTGTGGAGGGATTCAAGTTGTGGATTTAAAAGAAAACATGAATCATCAGCGTACGATGACACCTTTGTTTTTAAGCCCTGGATTTCTAATCCCTTGATATTATTGTTGGATCTGATTTGAATAGCTAACATCTCGATGGCCATAATAAATAGATATGCCGATAGTGGACAACCTTGTTTCACTCCTCGACAGTTTAAAACTTTCTGAGAAATAGCCATTATTTACTATTTTACACCTAGGGTTACTATACATGATTTTAACCCAATTTATAAGAGATTCTCCAAAATTGAAATGCTCCAGGCATTTATATATAAACCCCCAGTCGTACATTATCAAATGCCTTTTCGAAGTCTGCTATGAATACCAGGCCTGGTTTCCCAGATTTTTCATAGTGTTCTATTGTTTCCAGTACTTGCCTTATATTATCTCCAATGTATATTCCATGTAAAAAAAACTGTCTGATTAGGATGAATAATGTCCGACAAAACCTTTTTAATTCTATGCACTATACATTTTTGCTAGAATTGTTGCATCATAACACTGAAGTGAAAGGGGCCTCCAATTTTATATTTTCCACTTGTATCCTGTTTCAGTAATAATTAATTCAGACCTGTCATTTAGGTTAGTATTGTGGAGTAACTACAATGTTGTTGATCCATCCTCAGTTTTCTCATATCACAGCCATTAAACTCTGTAACTCTTTTAAAGTCACCATTGGCCTCAAGGTGAAATCCCTGAGCGGTTTCCTTCCTCTCCGGCAACTGAGTTAGCCAATGGGACCGTCTCTCTAAAAGCACAGTGACCTGAAGTCATTTTTCGCATTTCAAGCTGAGAGTTTATTGATTTACTTTTTAAACATGAAGCTTTTCAACTTTTAATGTCCTCCCATCCTAATACAGAATACCCAGAATACATAGCAAAGCCTAAAATGTACTTATTGGTCGACCTGCCACCGTGGCAGGTAGATGGAAAGATTGACCAGCCACTCAGATCTTTACCAGCCAAAATATCTTTTTTGGACATAATTACATCAAGAACCACCCAATAAAAACGAATGACCATGCTTAATGTTTCTAAAACAAATCAATTATTAGTAAGAAGTAATGTGATATATTGCAGAATTTCAGTCTTCTGCCACTTTAAGGGTGGGAGGTTACCGTGGTAACAGGCCACTGGAGTCTTGTCATGTGTCTGACTAGTAGTAGAGTGCTTTGCTATCAGTTGAAGCAGCAAACTAGCTTGTGAACAAAAACAATGTAAATAGCCAAGAAATACGAGGACAAAGTCTCATTTCACTTTAGAGTAAATTAGATCAACTTTTATGCGTGTAGCATCTCCAAAAATGAATCTATTAAAACAAAGCTCCCCAGCCAGGCAGTGTTGCTGCGCGAGGTGGGATATAGATTTCTTTGTGCGAAATACTTTGAAAACAGCTACTGCAGCATTTTCTGCTATAAATCACAACTCGCAACTCATCCTTAACTTTTTACTTTATTTTTATCCGCAAATGCAAATGTAATGCTGTAGAGCCCTGCATATTGACCACCCGCCTACGTGGCTTGTGAAATAGACATTCTTACCCGCCAATAACTAAATCTACCTGCATTGTGTGGCAACGCAGGCCCTGACCGCGTGTTCCAGAGACAGGCAGGCACACTTTGGGCCGCGCCACTCCAACCATAAATTAGAGTTTTATGTTGTGTGTGTGTGTGTGTGTCAGAACAGTTTAGGGGACAGTTCAGACTGGCCCTAGGTCTGCTTCATGCTGAGAGAGAGAGAGAGAGAGAGAGAGAGAGAGAGAGAGAGAGAGAGGCGAGAGAGAGAAGATAGAGAGAAGATAAGATAGAGGATAGAGGAGCGTGCGACTAGAGATATTGGAGATAGTCGAGAGACTAGAGGATCGCGAGATCGTATACGAGAGGTCGATGTAAGTGTTAGGGTCATTCTTACCCAGGCTACAGCCATGATGCCCAGGGCAAAGAGAGAGGGTCCCAGGAGGTTCCACAGGCCGTGACGGTCCAACTGGAGAGCCATGGAGGGAGAATAGGCCCCGAGCAGGTACAGCATCCTTTAGCCGGAAGCGGATAGAGAGGGTTAAAACCTACAGACCAGGTACACAAGGAGCACGGAGAGGGGAGGGGTATACAGACACCTAAGGAGCGCATGAACAGCACCTGGAGAGGAAGGAGAGGGTTAAACACCTACAGACCAGGTAGCATGCACCAGGAGAGAGAGAGGAGGAAGGTTACACGACAAAGACATGAGAGCACAGACACAACCATTAATGCAGGCTAGGAGGAGAGGAGGTTAAACACCCTACAGACCAGGTACAGCAAACCTGGAAGGAGAGAGAGGTTTAAACACCTACAGACCAGGTACAGCACCTTAGAGGAGAGGAGAGAGAGGGTTAACACCTACGACCAGGTACACAGCACCTGGAGAGGAGAGAAGGGTTTAAACACCTACAGACCAGGTACAGCACCTTTAGAGGAGAGGAGAGAGAGGGTTAAACACCTACAGACCAGGTACAGCACCTGGAGAGGAGAGAGAGGGTTAAACACCTACAGACCAGGTACAGCACCTGGAGAGGAGAGAGAGGGTTAAACACCTACAGACCAGGTACAGCACCTGGAGAGGAGAGAGAGGGTTAAACACCTACAGACCAGGTACAGCACCTGGAGAGGAGAGAGAGGGTTAAACACCTACAGACCAGGTACAGCACCTTTAGAGGAGAGAGAGGGTTAAACACCTACAGACCAGGTACAGCACCTGGAGAGGAGAGGAGAGAGAGGGTTAAACACCTACAGACCAGGTACAGCACCTGGAGAGGAGAGGAGAGGGTTAAACACCTACAGACCAGGTACAGCACATTTAGAGGAGAGGAGAGAGAGGGTTAAACACCTACAGACCAGGTACAGCACCTGGAGAGGATAGAGAGGGTTAAACACCTACAGACCAGGTACAGCACCTGGAGAGGAGAAAGAGGGTTAAACACCTACAGACAGACAGACAGTCAGAGAGGATAGAGAGGGTTAAACAGAGACAGATTTATAATTGTGATAATTGTGACCCCTGAGGACCACAGTTGGCATGAGGTAAAGGCCAGGGTTGAGAGCTGGCTGCAGCAGTGGGCAGTATACAGCACATCCCAATCACTCACTAACACAAACAAAGCTCTCCTCGCCAGTCTGACATGTGTGATTTGATTAGTGGCTGAGTTCTGTGGCTGAGGTGCTCTCTCTCTCTCAATATTTCTTTATCTCACTCTCTCTCTCTAAGGGCTTTATTGGCATGGGAAATGTATGTTAACATTGCCAAAGCAAGTGAAGTAGATAGTAAAGAAAAGTTAAATAAACAATAAGTATTAACAGTAAGAAGAAGATACAAGATAGACAGGATACAGGGAGGGAGAGGAAGATAGACGGGATACAGGGAGGGAGAGAGGTACAGCGAGAAGAAGAGGGGAGTGTTGAAGAATGCAGAATGTCAACAACCATAGAGTAAAACTGTGACAGATTGCCGACTCCCATATCTTTGTTTCAGCATTTCTACTTCTCTCTAATATGACGGTGGTTCTACCATTATGTATCTATAGAGATGATCTATACTGAACAAAAATATGAACACAACATGTAGAGGCCTCCCGAGTGGCGCAGTGGTCTAAGGCGCCGCATCCCAGTGCTAGCTGTGCCACTAGAGATCCTGGTTCGAATCCAGGCTCTGTCGTAGCCGGCCGCGACCGGGAGACCCATGGGGCGGCGCACAATTGGCCCAGCGTCGTCCAGGGTAGGGGAGGGAATGGCCGGCAGGGATGTAGCTCAATTGGTAGAGCATGGCGTTTGCAACGCCAGGGTTGTGGGTTCGATTCCCACAGGGGGCCAGTATGAAATAACACAAATAATGTATGCACTCACTAACTGTAAGTCGCTCTGGATAAATGACTAAAATGTTAAAATGTTAAATGTAAATGTAAAGTGTTTGTTTCATGAGCTGAAACAAAAGATCCTAGAAATGTTCCAAAAAAAAGCTTATTTTTTATTATTTCTGTTTACGTCCCTGTTAGTGAACATTTAACTGGTTGAAATAGATTTAGATGTATGAGTTTTGTCATAATTAAGCAACCAGGTTATGTAATTGATATGTATGTATATGTATTTATATTTGTGGAGCCACCAGCTGTATTACTTGAGTAACTGCATCCCCTGTGTATATATACTGTATATACACACTACCAGTCAAAAGTTTGGACACACCTACTCATTCAAGGGTCTTTCTTTATTTTTACTATTTTCTACATTGTAGAATAATAGTGAAGACATCAAAACTATGAAATAACACATATGGAATCATGTAGTCACCAAAAAAGTGTTAAACAAATCAAAATATATTTTACATTTGAGATTCTTCAAATAGCCACCCTTTGCCTTGATGACAGCTTTGACCACTCTTGGCATTTTCTCAACCAGCTTCATGAGGTAGTCACCTGGAATGCATTTTAATTAACCTTGTTGTTATAAATGTAATAATGTATAAAATGTATATTATAAATATACATTTAACTTTCCAAAAATTATTACAGTTCCGGTCAAAGGGTTGCATGGTGGGTTTGCAGTTGTTCTGAAGTTTACACAGTGTTGCAGAATAAAAATGAAAGAGAACAGAACCTTTGTCGATTAGCGATTAGCTGATGTCAGCGTTGTGAACAGAGTGCCCCATGGTGGCAGTGGGGTTATGCTATGGGCAGGCATAAGCTACGGACAACGAACACAATTGCATTTTATCGATGGCAATTTGAACGCACAGAGATACCGTGATGAGATCCTGAGGCCCATTGTTGTGACATTCATCCGCCGCCATCACCTGATGTTTCGGCATGATAATGCACGGCCCCATGTCGCAAGGATCTGTACACAATTCCTGGAAGCTGAAAATGTCCCAGTTCTTCCATGCTCACCAGACATGTCACCCATTGAGCATGTTTGGGATGCTCTGGATCAACAGCGTGTTCCAGTTCCAATATCCAGCAACTTCGCACAGCCATTTAAAGAGGAGTGGGACAACATTCGACAGGCCACAATCAACAGCCTGAACAACTCTATGCGAAGGAGATGTGTCACGCTGTATGAGGCAAATAGTGGTCACACCAGATAATGACTTGTTTTCTGATCCACACCCCTACCTTTTTTTAAGGTATCTGTGACCAACAGATGCATATCTGTATTCCCAGACGTGAAATCCATAGATTAGGGCCTAATGAATTTATTTAAATTGACTGATTTTCTTATATGAACTGTAACTCAGTAAATTCTTTGAAATTGTTGTGTTCATATTTTTGTTTAGTGTATATACAGTGCATTCGGAAAGTATTCAGACCCCTTGACTTTTTAAACATTTTGTTACATTATCACCTTATTCTAGAATGGATTAAATTGTTTTTTCCCCCTCATCAATCTACACAAATTACCCATAGCGAGAAAGAAAAAACAGGATTGTATAAATTTTAGCAAATGAATAAAAAATAAAAAACTGAAATATCACATTTACATAAGTATTCAGACCCTTTACTCAGTACTTTGTTGAAGCACCTTTGGCAGAAATTACAGCCTCGAGTCTTCTTGGGTATGACGCTACAAGCTTGGCACACCTGTATTTGGGGAGTTTCTCCTATTCTTCTCTGCAGATCCACTCAAGCTCTGTCAGGTTGGATGGGGAGCGTCACTGCACAGCTATTTTCAGGTCTCTCCAGAGATGTTCGATCGGGTTAAAATCCGGGCTCTGGCTGGGCCTTCTCCCCCGATTTCTCAGTTTGGCCGGGCGGCCAGCTCTAGGAAGATTCTTGGTGCTTCCAAAGTTCTTCCATTTAAGAATGATGGAGGCCACTGTGTTCTTGGGGACCTTCAATGCTGCAGAAATATTTTGGTACCATTCCCCAGATCTGTGCCTCGACACGATCCTGTCTCAGAGCTCTACGGACAATTTTTGACCTCTAGGCTTGGTTTTTGCTCTGACATGCACTGTCAACTGTGGGACCTTATTTAGACTGGTGTGTACGTTTCCAAATCATGTCCAATCAATTGAATTTACCACAGGTGGACTCCAATCAAGCTGTAGAAACATCTCAAGTATGATCACTGGAAACAGGATGCACCTGAGCTCAATTTCGAGTCTCATAGCAAAGGGTCTGAATACTTATGTAAATAAGGTATTTTTTTTTATTTATTTTATACGTTTGCAAAAATGTCTAAAAACCTGTTTTTGCTTTGTCATTATGGGGTATTGTGTGTAGATTGATGAGGGGGAAAAAAATATTTAATCAATTTTAGAATAAGGCTGTAACGTAACAAAATGTGGAAAAGGTCAAGGGGTCTGAATACTTTCCGAATGCACTGTGGATAAAACAGGAGGCTGCTGAGGGGAGAACGCCTCTTAATAACAGATGGATAGAGCACTAACCTGTTTAATGATAGACTTGAGCCGGGCCATAGAGATGACGGTGACCCAGACAGACATGAGGGAACCCAGAAAGTCACAGAACTGGAGAACATCGTATTCCATGATACAGAACACCACGATACCCGGCTGGTCACACGCATGGTAGAACTGAAATGATACACAATATATAACATTAAATACTGTCGCATGGTAGAACTGGAATAGAACACAATATATAACATTAAATACTGTAGCATGGTAGAACTGGAATAGAACTCAATTAAGAACAGGACAATATGGTAGAACTGGAATAAATTCAGTGTGTATTATTCCACTTAACAGGGGCATGGGGAAAAAAGGGGCGTGGGGAAAAAAGGGGCGTGGGGAAAAAAGGGGCGTGGGGAAAAAAATGTGTGTCAACTATGCACTGAAATAGCGAATGGAGGACGCTTTACCCGTGGTTCATTTTAATGCCTGCCAGGTTGACTATACTCCTGTAGTAAAGCAAATCAATACGCTTAATATTAGGAAAGTTGATAAATAGTAGTCCCAGCCTATAGAAGGCTGATGGGATCCTCCTCTTTTTAATAGAGTCCGTCAAAACTCGGATTTCTCACTTAATTGCGTAGCCAATAAACCTACCATTAAAATTATAGACTGATCATGTCTTTGTCAGTGGGCAAACGTACACAATCAGCAGGGGATCAAATACTTTTTTCCCTCTCTGTATGAGCTAGGCTACATGAGGTGGGGGACTATAATAAAAACAAGGCGTTGTTTCTTATGCTGGGCATCATTCACAAGTGACAGGCTGATATTGTCACCCATCAGACTATTGATGATTTAATCTTGTCTTTACATATACTAAATAATATATGTGTGAAATTTGTTTTGATTTAGAATGGACCATTATCATGCACCTGTCTCGAAACAGGGGCAGTGGGAAAAAATACATGTAATCTATGCACTTAAATAGCGAATGGAGGACGCTTTTCCCGTGGTTCATTTTCATGCCAGCCAGGTAGGCTGTACTCCTGTTGTAAAGAGAAGCAATGTGCTTAACATTAGGAAAGTTGAGGAATATAGTAGGCCCAGCCTATAGAAAGCTGATGGGATCCTCCTCTTTTTAATAGAGGCCATCACCCTGTTTTCTCATGCAATTGCATAGCCTATAGAAATGTTGCGCAACATGAGCTCATGGGCTCTTATGAGGTGTTTGATTAGATTTTCGATGACATTTGCATTGATGTCAGAGTGATTAGAGGGACAATAGAGTGCTGAGTACCAGGCAGTTAGCTAGTTTGGTAGGATACTAATGACCATCAGCAGCATCAGAGCTTGGAGAAGCCTAGTTACCGTGACTAAACGGTCACGTGGAATTTGACTGCCTTCGTGACTCGTGACCGCCGGTGTGGCGGTAATACGGTCACAGTAACAGCCCTATGCGCAGCCAGGACATTTCAATCACTTGTCTCTCTTTTGGACTGATGCCAGCCAGGACATTTCAATTGTAACTTACCTCAATTAGAAACAATAATGTCTTTGATCATCTTTGCTTTCAGGCCATTTTTGCTCTGATCATGTCAGAAGCTCTATTTTATATTTAATTGAAATACATTTACTATTTTGTGACTAAAATGACTGTGACTAAAACTAGACTAAAACTGTCCAGAGTTTTAGTTGATTGATGACAACTAGGATGGAAGGATGAAATGACTAAAATGTAACTAAGAATAAAAGGTATTTTAAGACAAAAACAAAATGTAAAATAGCTGCCAAATTAAAATCTGCATTACACAAAGATGACTGATGACTTCCTTCATGTTTTGTATGTCGCAGGCCTATGAGGTCATTCAGTTAAACATCTCTCTCTACCCTGGGTATTGCAATAAACTAAATGAGAAACGTTAGCAGTAAAATGTTGGAACACGTATCTTAACCATTCCAGCAGCACAGAGGAACTAGACAAGGGTGTCCATTATCACCAATGTTATTCACTGTTGCGTTTTCTTTTCCGAATGACATTAAACTGGGTGTGTGGGTGTGTGGGTGGCTCACATAACTCACAGTAGAAAAGAACATGGTGAAGATGTATACGGAGGCCTCCAGTAGGTAATGGCTGCGGACAGCGATCACCACAGGAGGAACAAACATCAGGTTACTGAGGCAGAGCAGCAAGGTGGACAGGAGCTGGAAACTATAGGAATACGCCTCCGAGGGGTCTGTACAGCCCCATCCGTCCCAGCCTGGACCCACAGACAGGAGAGATAGGTTAGCATAGACACAGACACACGTTTACACATTACAGTATGCTAACGCGGACACACGCGCACATTAACCAGGGCACAGTAGAGCACAAGGTTGGGGTCAGATTCTGATTTTGGAATTGAGTCACGACAAGTGTTCCGTTGTTTTGGACTTGCGGTTCCTTGCATTAGTTCTGACAGTTCAGGCTCGCAAGGTTAGTATTTTTCTTGGAACCGTGGAGGTCTATGGACTAGGGGATGCAGCGTGTCAGTGTCGTATAGCCAAGTTGCAGCAGGTTCTGGTTCCCTATATGGGGCTCTGACAGTTCAGGCTTCTTGGATAATTATTGGGGAAAAAGGTGTCTTCTGTTCCCCTTTTTGGAGCCGGTGGAACCTGTGTATGCTTGGGCTGCCGCGGGCCTCCTAGTTTGGTTTCCCCTCAGAGCCGGCTTGGGGTGTGATCGTGCACTGAGTATACAAAACATTAGGAACACCTGCTCTTTCCATGACATAGAATGACCAGGTGAATCCAGGTGAAAGCTATGATCCCTTATTGATGTCACCTGTTAAATCCACTTCAATCAGTGTAGATGAAGGGGAGGAGACAGGTTAAAGAAGGATATTTAAGCTTTGAGACAATAGAGACATGGATTGTGTATGTTTCTCTCTAATTCTCTCTTTCTCTCGAATTTGCGGTTTCATTGTTTCTCTCGCTTTCTCTCTGTCAATTCAATTCAATAGACTTTATTGACATGGCAAGTTAAATTACTTACATTGTCAAAGTATACATATATATGTCTCTCTCTGTCTCTCTTTCTCTCTCTGGTTCTCTGTTTCTCTCTTTCTCTCTAATTCGCAGTTTCTCTCTGTTTCTCTCTAACTCGCTGTTTCTCTCTTTTTCTTGTTTCTCTCTGTTTCTCTCCAATTCTCTGTTTCTCCCTCTCTTTCTCTCGAATTCGCTGTTTCTCCCTCTGTCTCCCTCTGTCTCTCTCTGTCTCTCTCTGTGTCTCTGTCCATCTCTCTCCGTTTCTCTGTCTCCCTCTGTTTCTCTCTTGTTTACTTCTGTTTCTATTTATCTCTGTTTCCCTCTGTTTCTCTCTCTGTTTCTCTGTCTCTCTCTGTTTCCCTCTCTGTTTCCCTCTCTGTTGCTCTCTCTGTTGCTCTCTCTGTTTCTCTCTCTGTTTCTCTGACAGGCAGGCAGGCAGAGAGACAGACAGAAACAGACAGACAGGATGGTCTATAATTATGTATAATGAGATGGTGATGACTGGCTAAGAGGTGGTGATGACTGACAGATCACATTCTACCGCCCTCTAATGCAGTCGGTAATTACACTATTACCTGATTGGTGGATTCTGATTAAACAAAAGTGTCTGATACTGTACATATTCAACTAGACAATTATCTGATTGGCATCTGGGTCAGTCACATCCACGGTTATCAGATTGGCATCTGGGTCAGTCACATCCACGGTTATCAGATTGGCATCTGGGTCAGTCACATCCGCGGTTATCTGATTGGCATCTGGGTCAGTCACATCCGCGGTTATCTGATTGGCATCTGGGTCAGTCACATCCGCGGTTATCAGATTGGCATCTGGGTCAGTCACATCCACGGTTATCAGATTGGCATCTGGGTCAGTCACATCCGCGGTTATCTGATTGGCATCTGGGTCAGTCACATCCACGGTTATCAGATTGGCATCTGGGTCAGTCACATCCACGGTTATCAGATTGGCATCTGGGTCAGTCACATCCAGGGTTATCAGATTGGCATCTGGGTCAGTCACATCCACGGTTATCAGATTGGCATCTGGGTCAGTGACATCCGCGGTTATCAGATTGGCATCTGGGTCAGTGACATCCGCGGTTATCAGATGGGCATCTGGGTCAGTCACATCCGCGGTTATCTGATTGGCATCTGGGTCAGTCACATCCGCGGTTATCTGATTGGCATCTGGGTCAGTCACATCCACGGTTATCTGATTGGCATCTGGGTCAGTCACATCCACGGTTATCTGATTGGCATCTGGGTCAGTCACATCCACGGTTATCTGATTGGCATCTGGGTCAGTCACATCCGCGGTTATCTGATTGGCATCTGGATCAGTCACATCCATGGCTATATGATTGGCATCTGGGTCAGTAACATCCGCGGTTATCAGATTGGCATCTGGGTCAGTGACATCCGCAGTTATCAGATTGGCATCTTGGTCAGTCACATCCGCGGTTATCTGATTGGCATCTGGGTCAGTCACATCCTTGGTTAACTGATTGGCATCTGGGTCAGTCACATCCTTGGTTATCTGATTGGCATCTGGGTCAGTCACATCTGCGGTTATCTGATTGGCATCTGGGTCAGTCACATCCATGGCTATATGATTGGCATCTGGGTCAATCACATCCACGGTTATCAGATTGGCATCTGGGTCAGTCACATCCGCGGTTATCTGATTGGCATCTGGGTCAGTCACATCCATGCCTTTATGATTGGCATCTGGGTCAGTCACATCCATGCCTTTATGATTGGCATCTGGGTCAGTCACATCCATGCCTTTATGATTGGCATCTGGGTCAGTCACATCCACGGTTATATTATTGGCATCTGGGTCAGTCACATCCATGGTTATATGATTAAATAAATAGCTGTAATTACATTTGTATTAACCTGGAACGACTCACACTACCGTGCATGATTAAGATGTCCATGATTAAGATGTCCATGATTAGAGGATGTCTCATACTGCACGTAACAAACTAAGAATCCAGATGCTGTTCCAATCTGTTGACTTCAACCTCTCAAATACACAGTATATCTGTACTTGATTAAGTATTTACCAGCTAGCATACACAATCACCTTTTTACCTGACTAAGTAAGCATTTCACAGTAAGGTTGTATTTGGCACATGTGACAAATAACATTTGATTTGATCTGGTAAAAAAAAAAAAAAGTTACGTAAATTTCTTAACCTATTTATACTTCATATTAGAAGTCATTTTCAAAACCGTTCAAAACTCTTTGCTAAAAAGGAGTTGTGAATGTAATGTTGACAAGATGGCGTCGACAGACAAGGTCACCCTGTTTCTAGCGCCTAGCCAACTTTGCAGTATTATTTTTGGTTTGTGTTATTTCTTACATAATTTGCTCAGAATGTTTCTAGTATTATTACCTACAGCCTTGAAAATAACTTTCTGACATTAGATCGGCGGTCACTCACCGGAAATTTGATCAGAAGTTCGACTTCCCTGACCTGGATCCTTTGTTTGGACTTCCCGAGGCAGCCCCATTCATCCCGGGTGCTACACCCAAATGTTGACAACGGAGAAGAGGGAGGAGAAGTGGGGTTCTAGTCAGGCTCAGGCGGCGAGCAAACCAAGTATATTACTCACTAACGTTCAGTCCCTGGACAATAAAGTAGACGAGCTCAGGGCGAGGATCTCCTTTCAGAGAGACATAAGGGACTGTAACATACTTTGTTTCACAGAATCATGGCTCTCCGGATATATTGTCCCCGTCCATACAGCCAGTGGGGATTCTCCGTTCATCGTGCGGACAGGAAGAAAGAACTCTCCGGGAAAAACAGAGGTGGAGGGGTATGTCTCATGGTGTGATACGTACAGGAACTCAAGTCCTTTTGTTCTCCCAATCTGGAATACCTCACCATCAAATGCCGACCGCATTACCTCTGGAGATAATTGTCTTTGGTCATCATCACAGCCGTGTATATTCCCCCTCAAGCCGACACCGCTACGGCTCTCAAGGAACTACACTGGACTGTGTGCAAACTGGAAACCGCATATCCTGAGGTAGCCGAGGACATAAATAAATGATCTGACCAATCGAATTTATGCCTCAAGACTATTTTGATCCCCCGGACTGGGAAATGTTACGGGTCACCTCTGGGAATAGCGTCGACGTATACACGGACTCAGTGACTGGGTTCATCAGAAAGCGCATAGAGGATGTTGTTCCTGTAATGTTCTTGATATTGGCCGCCTTGACAGACTGGTGGATGGTGCTGTTGTTAAGTGTTAATGGAATTTACTTCAGGCATTTTGAGGAACAGAAAATGTAGTTCTACTGGTGAGAGTGCAAGAAGCAAAATATGTAATATTATTTCACCAGCTACACATCACCTACTGTGACGATTAGAACTTATCCAAACCAAAAAATGCGGATAGACGGCAGCATTCGCGCAAAACTGAAAACGCGAACCACCGCATTTAACCATGGCAAGGTGACTGGGAAAATGGACAAGTACAAACAGACCAGTTATGACCTCCGTAAGGCAATCAAAGAGACAAAACGTCAGTATAGGGACAACGTGGAGTCGTAATTCAACGGCTCAGACACGAGACGTATGTGGCAGGGACTCCAGACACTCACGGATTATAAAGGGAAAACCACGCCGCGCTCCCAGACAAGCTAAACACCTTCGCCTGCTCCGAGGAAAACACTGAGCCGACAACATGGGCCCCAGCCACTCATGAGGACTATGTGCTCCCGGTCGCCGTGGCAGACAAGAGTAAGACATTCAAGCGTGTAATCTGTCGCAAGGGTGCCGTACCAGACAGCATTCCAAGCCGGGTCCTTAGCGCATGTGCAGAACAGCTGGCTGGAGCGTTTATGGATATCTTTAATCTCTGCCTATCCTAGTCCGTTGTCCCCACTTGCTTCAACATGTCCACCATTGTGCCTGTACCCAAGAAAGCGACGGTAACTAAACTAAATTACTATTGCCCTGTAGCACTCACTTCTGTCATCATGAAGTGCTTGGAGAGGCTAGTTAAGATCCTTAAGAGTCTATGGATGCACCCGTGCGTCAATCTAATTAACATAATAAAACAATCCCCATCTAAATCTGTCAGTTCGAGATAGAGATATCTGCCCGGTAACACGAGGGGTGGTGGTCTGTGTCTATTTAGATAGAGATATCCGCCCGGTAACACCAGGGGTGGTGGTCTGTGTCTATTTAGATAGAGATATCCGCCCGGTAACACCAGGGGTGGTGGTCTGTGTCTATTTAGATAGAGATATCTGCCCGGTAACACCAGGGGTGGTGGTCTGTGTCTATTTAGATAGAGATAT